GTGGTACTTTTTAGTATGTGTCCCATGAAATGTAGAGTATATAAAGTTAGTATTTTGTTGATTTGAATTTCTAATGTAATTTGATATTTGTAATTTCATATTTTATCTGGCAACATAGCTGGTAATTGAGAGATACTGAGTGCAGCAGTTTATCCTCATTTAATCCCTCCCTCCAGGGTCTCTAGGACAGGAACAAAAACAGTGGCAGTGGCCCCACACTGAGGGCAGCTGGGAGCTATATCATGCACATCAGTAACTTTCCATGTTATCAGGATACACGAGGTCTTTACCATTACTATACCTCAAGTCACCAGATACCTGTCTCTACCACCAGATACCTTAGGGTGTAAGGGTAAAGCCTGTGGTCCCTCTGACTGAGATAGCCTTCCACACTGGGTTTGTGTCTCTGGTGCCACAGCAACCTTCCAGCCTGAGACTATCTATGGACTATTTCTCTCCTCCCAGAGAGGGAGCCTGCCTGGTAGGGGGAAACGTGCAGCAGACGGAACTATTCTTTCCCTTTCTTTGGGTTCCCACTGGGACCCATAAAAAAGCTACCTATCATTCTTTCTTGGAAATACTTTAAGTGTTTGTGTCCTTTTCATCCACCCACCACCTACACTTTTGGGTGGGGGAATAACTTGAGAACCGTATATCTGAGAGAAGATTATTTTTTTTTAATTTTTTAATTATTATTATTTGTGTGTGTGAGTGTGTGTGTGTGTATGTACCGTCAAATCAGATTTGACTGGTACAGGAGGAGATTGTTCCTCCTTCTCCAGCAAAGCATCTGGTGGATTTGAACTGCTCACCTCTGGGATTGCAGTGCACCTTCTTGCCAGTAGGCCACCAGAGCTTGCCCTGAGAGAAGATTATTAAGGATGCTAATTTTTCCTTAGGACTGTGCTGTTTCCTAATTTTGCTAGTGATAATTTTTTTTTAAAAAAAATATCAGCATTTTACTTTTTTCTCAACTTCTCCATTAGTTCACAAGGCAGCAGGATTGATAAGCTGGGGCAGGTGGGAAGCTACTTCCTGACCTGACCTCTCCCTTTTATTCCCTTTCTTCCCACTGCCCTTCTCCCAATTCTGCCCAAGAGCTTCTCCCTTTCAGGCTGGCTCCTAACAGTAGCAACTAATTTTTAAGCACTCTGGGGTCAACTCATTTAATCTTGGCAGGAATCCTATGAAGTAAGTTGTCCGTATTCCTTCTGAAGCACAGAGAAGTTAAGTTTCTACACTAAGGCCATGCAACTGGACAACTGTCAAACACATGTTCTTAGAAGACAGGACAGATGTCCCCAGGGCTCACTTTTATCTCCCAGATAATATTAATCCATCTTCCTGCCAAATATTTACTGATTTCCCACCCTGTGCCAGGCACTGTTTAAGGACCGAGGATACGGTGGTGAGCAAGAGTTAGTCCTCTACCTTATGTTGCTTACATTCTAGTAATAACAACTAGCATTTACTGAGAGCTTATCATGCGCCCCAGCTCTAAGCACTTTACATTCATTATTCACTTCATTCTCAAAACCACTTTTTGAATAGGTACTAGAGAGGTTACTTTCTGTTTTGCAGATGAAACAAAGACACAGAGAGGTTAAGTCACATGGCCATCACCAGTAAGTGGCAGAACTGGGATTGGGTCCAAGGCAGTCAGCCTCCAGAGCCAGATCTTAACTAGTATATTCCCCTGCCCTTTCACTCTGCCCAGATTTTCATAGGCATTCCAGAAATAAGGATCCTGACTTCTGAGTTTGACCCAAAGGAGAACAATCAACAGTGTCCCAGCTACCAAACATTTGGAAGGTCTGTTAGCAGGTTCAACGATCCACACAGGACTAGTCCTGCATCTGAACTGCCCACTGTCGATCTCCTGGACCACCTGCCTATAAAACTGGCTCCGCATTCTCAATGGCAACGGGGAGGAACCATGTCTTCATGAGTGTGGCAAGCCAGTCAAATGCAGGGTGACTCAAACCCACGCAGAGGCACCTCGAAAAACAGGCTTGATGATCTACTACTGAAAGGCCACAGTCTTGAAAAATCCCACAGAGCAACATGGAAGGCTCTACACACATGGGAAAACCATGGGTCAGAAATGACTTGATGGCTACTAACAACAATACAACAGAGTTTTTTGTTTTTTTACAAGTCTTTGAGACATGGTTTCTGTTTTATTTTTGTACAGATTTTAGTCTCTTCCTGTGGCTACAAAGCTCCCTGGGTCAATGCCTGCATGAAAAGCCCCAGGCGGGCTGCAAACCCCAGGCAGCCCCACAGGGTGTGCAGAGGGTAGAGGCCCAGAGGGGCAGCCTACCCACAGGATCATATAGTATTTTTATTCCTAGATTTTTGAGGAAGACAACAGAGTTTTTAGAGAAAGAGCCTACTGTCATCCCAGCTGAATTAAAACCCCTAGTTGCTTAAACATACTTTTTGGGCTAGGCCAGTCTAATCTAAGATACCCCAGAGATCTCTTTTCTTAAGACATCAAAATTGAACAATAAGAAATTATGGTACATTCACATGAAGCATGCAGGAGCAACGATTTTGTAAATCACTGCCTAACTTGAGAGGGATTGGAGAGCATTATGCTAAGTGAATCAACTCAGTCCCATAAAAACAAACACTGTATAAAACCATTATTGTAGAATGTGTATGAGAATCCAAGGGGGGTAAGGTGGGAACAGAGGGGTGAGGATTGGGGGGGAGTGGTTAATTATAGGGTTGTACAATTTGATGGGTGAAGGGAGGGGTGGGTAAAGGAAATGGGAACAATCTGGTATGAAAAACAATGTATACGGACTTTGTAAGTAAACCAGTATAAAATAAATTTATTTAAATTACAAAAATCCTGAACAATGCTGTTTAATATTTACAATGGCACTAAGTGTTTGTTTCAGAGTTTCGTGATTACTAAGTTCCTAATAATAGGTTAGAGACCACACATCAACATCAATACATGGTGATGTCAGAGTCTAGCTAGACTTGGCAGCTTTCCTTGGAACTAGCACACCCCTGCATCATGAAAATACTCTAATGTTAGAGTATTTTTACAATCTGCAAAAGGAACCTATAACCATTGGAGAAAACAAAGATGAGGACTTTTGCCTGTGTGAGTTGTGAGGCTAAAGAAGTTCTAGGAACTTCAGAGACCATCTTGCTAAACTTCCAGACATGGAGAACAGAACTGAGATACCCAGACTAATGAGATGATTTGTCTAAAATCATTGCATGTGAAGCAATCTAAGATTAGGCCTCAGGTCTGCTGCTATTCAGATAAACATAGGATTAAAAATAACTAATAGGTTTTTGGCAATTTGCCAATTTATCTCAACTCAGAAAAGACGATGCCAAATTGAATGCAAACACCAGCCAACATAATTCTCACACAAACAGAATAACTGCTACTGAGTCTGTTATAGAATGAGTTTCCAATGTCTGGCATGAGGAGTGATATGAGATGGTTTCTTAGATCTGAACACTTATGGCTGTAAAAGCGCTGGAATCTTCCTTCCCAGGCTGGCTGATGCAGGCCAACCTCTCATTTTTCCCCTTAATAATGTTATTATTCATATACATTGTTTGGAAGCAGGAGTGGCATCCACTTGCTAAATAACATGCCTTGGAAACTCTATGAACTTTGATAAATACCGATAGTTATAGAAAGGCTTTAGACCTTTTGCTCATAGGGTTACTATGAGTCATGCTCAACTCAATGGCAATCAACAACAACAACATATACATTGTTTTTCATTCATGTACATTGTGGGTTTTATTTCATCCTGGTTAAATTACAAAATTCGGATACATTGTTTTCCACAATGGGTCTTTCCCATTTCCTTTACCCATCCCTCCCTCTACCCATCAAACTGTGCAGCCTTATGATTACCCTCCAGTCCATCCTCTCTCCTCTGCTCCTACCCTCCCCTCTTTAAGAAGGGATTCCCCTCACCAGTCTGTGCAGAAATGATACCCCAGAAATACCACTAGGAATGGGTACTGAAGCATCTTCTATGACTGTTCAACGTCTGATCCCATGAAACTGTGGAGGTCTACAACCTCAGTTTGTCCAGATTCCTCTTCTCTCTCTGTTTAAACCATATCCTCAGGTCTAATCCGAAAGCCTCGAATACACATAGCACCAGCAAATATTGTTGAATAGATGAGTTTAGTTTTCAAAGTACCATTACTGGTAGCTACATCCCAGAGTTTCACTCTAGAAAAATTCAGCTTATCTGATAGCTAAAAAAAGTCATCTCTATTCTTGTTTACTAGATAACAGATTGAATAACTCCTTTGCTAAGATTTCAAGGCCTTTAAAATGAAAGCCAAATGATTAGTGAAACAAATAAAACAATTTCATTCCCTCAATCCCAAGGATTTTCTACACAAAGTCTTTAACATGAAAGCTAGATAGGATGATCAATTAAGAAAAGAAGTATTTTGGAGTTGGATAAGGCAAGGTAGGAAGGAAATTAAAGATTGTTTCTAAAACCATGTCAGCAATCACTGAATGAAGTCAGCTTGTTCCCTATTGGTCCAAGAAGAAACAATCAAGACTTGTGCTCTTGAACTTGCTTCTGGATTGGCCTCTTGCTTACAAGGGGCTATCTATCATTTGTCTTATTATATAATCAGAAACCCAGTATTATGAAGTTGTTGTTGTTGATTGCCATCAAGTGGAGCGTGACTCATAGCAACCCTAAGAACAAAAGCCCTGAAGACTGTCTATAACTATCAACATTTATCAAAGTTCATAGAGTTTCAAGGGCAATTTGTTACTAAAGATTTTTAAGATAAACACACCTACTGGTCAGCAGGAGTGGCATCCACTTCCTAAACAACATGCCTCCAGAAACTCTATGAACTTTGATAAATGTTGATAGTTACAGAGGCGCTTCAGGCCTTTTGTTTATAGGGTCTCTATGAGTCATGCTTGACTTGAAGACAATCAACAACAACTATTGGTTACTTATAGATTATTGTGTGAGCTGACATTTCACATTGACAATATAGAAAAAAATCTATTTTACAGCTATTTTGAGCACTAATAATGCATTGCTAGTAGCAATGAATGTTGAAGAGAGAATATTACTGCCTGTGATGATTAAGTTACTATGTGTCAATTTGCCTGGGTCTAATTCTTGATGGTTTGGCAATTATGTAATGATGTAATCTGGCAGTTATTTGTTGTTGTTAGGTGCCATCGAGTCAAGTATAACTCACAGCAACTCTATGAACAACAGATGTGAACCCTGCTCTATTCTGTGCCATCCTTACACTTCCTGACACATAAGAGCCCATTGCGGCAGTCACTGCATCAATTCACTTGGTTGAGGGTCTTCCTCTTCTTCACTGTCCCTCCAACTTTCCCAGCATCATGTCCCACTCCAAGGAATAGCCCCTCCTAACAACATGTCCGAAGAATGTGAGGTGAAGCCTAATCATTCTTGCCTCCTACGAGCACTCCAGCTGCACCCTCTCCAAGACATATTTGTTTTTTCTTTTGGCCGTCCATGGAATGTTCAGTGCTCTTCTCCAACACCACAGTTCAAAGACATCAATACTATTTCTATCATCCTTATTCTCTGTCCAGATCTCAAGTGACAACAAGTGATTGGAAAGACTAGGGCCTGAATCAGATGCACCTTAGTCCTCAGACTGACATCATTAGTCCTCAATAATTTGGAGAGGTCCCCAACTGCAGATTTGCAGTTACGTCAGTTATGTAATGATGTAGTCATCTTTAATTTTGTGATCTGATGTGATCAGCCTCAATTTTTGTATAATGTCAATTTTTGCATGGTGCTTTGTTCTTTGGACCTAACCATGTCAGTAAGTGAGGATGAGATGTTTTTATAGGTGTTATAAAGATTTCCTCTAAAGAAATCTTGTACTACAACTTAGTTTGTCTTCAAGATCTCAATAATAATAATAATAATAATAATAATAATAAAATCTCACAGATTTTTGAGTTGCTTAAACTCATGGTGACTCTCCATGAGGTTTCAAAAGCTGTCAATCTTAACAGGAGAAAACAGGCCAATTTTCTCCCAAGGAGTATTTGGTGGATTTGAACTACTGACCTTTTGGTTAGCAGTGCAACAAACTATACATTATACCACCAGAGTTCCTCAATGATATAGTTAAAGCCTATTAAGTACTTACCTGGTACTTTCTATGTATTACTTCATTTAGACCAGGTTTTTAAGCACCCATACTATGGTAAGGAACTCTGGTGGTATAGAGTGCAACATGTCAGGTTATGGACCAAAAGGGTGATAGTTTGGATCCACTTGACACTCCATGGAAGAAAGATGGCCAGTTTCTTCTCAGAAAGATTTAAGGGAAAAACTCAATAGAGGGTTGGGATAAGTCAGACTGAGCTTGATGGCAGGGAGCATAGTTTTTTGTGCTTACTGATAGGCTAGACACTGTCTGGACACTAGGAACAAAGTGGAAGCACATCTTTCTCCCATGGAGTGGCTGATGGGTTCAAATCACTGGCGTTTTGGTTAGTGCTTAACTGCTGTATCATCGGGACTCATTCCCCATAAGATCAACTCAACTCACTGCTGTTGAGTCAGAACGGACTCAGAGATGACCCTGTAGTGGGTTTTCAGAGGCAGTAAATTGCACAGAAGACTGCCCAGCTCTTTCCTTTGTAGCAGCTGGATTTGCAGTGCAACTCCTTACCCATTAAGCCACCAACTACTCATTTTTCTATTTTATGGATAATGAAACTGAGGCACACAAAGGATTAAAAATTCTCAAATGTACCAGCAGGTGGCTAAGGCCACTTACAGATTCTAACCAGACATCATCAAAATGTAAAGCAATTTAAACAAAGCAGCCAGTTCCTAGTCACATTATCATCAACAGCTATCTGTCAACTTCAAACCTTGTTTCCTATTTAATTAATCTCCTTATAACAGAACTACTCTCTATAGAATACATGCTTACATCTAATCCTTAAGACATCTGATAAAGGAATCACAGTCAAATGATATTTATTTATACTCACTGTAGAATAAATTGAGGATGTGCTAGAAACCAAGGAAAGTGAGGATCCATGAACTATTAAAGACAAAAAAGAAGAAATAGTGAGTTATTATTACAAGGCACTAGTAAAGTGACTATTAAAGGCTGAGACATTAACACAGTACCGCAATCTCTATTTCACTCTTCCTGGCTGGATGACAGAGCAGTGTCAAACAAGGACAAACTTGCTAAGGGAGTCACTTTTATTTTCTTTCCCCCCTACAACCTTCTAAACAATTTAATTTTTTCTGAGAAAAAAAATCACTAGGAATAAGGAAAGGCAGGTACATAAGGATTAATGGAAATCAGAATTATAGGAAGGGAGTGGAAAATCATGATTTAATTGTGGGAATCGAAATTAATGTTATAGAATAAAATGTGTATGCATGGTGGAAAGCAAAATGAATTTCCTTTCTAACTTAAACCACAATTTTTAGAAAGGGGGAAGATTATGGACTGCTTTGAGAATCCTCTAGGTCATTCTGCTCTGTCCTGTAAGATCCCTGTAAGTCAGAAATGACTAGAGCTGAGGGGGTTTGGTTTTGACCCCTCAACAACAATTCTCTTCCCCCCCCCCCTAAATTTTTCAGCAAATACTCTTTTGGAGATCTTTTTATTTTAAAATCATTTTCTCTCCTAAAAAAAAAAAAGCAAATTAATAATAATATTTGAAAAAAAGGAAAATAGAAGTAAAGAATGGTTACTGGACAAAAAATTTCAAATATAAAGGAAGTGTTAAGAAGCATATTCATCATGATAAACTCCGTATCTCTTAATTCCATTATCAAGAGACAAGTTATTACTGTTTCAGCATATTTTATTCCAGTCTTTTCTAAAAAGACCTTCTTTTAGGGCTGAAATTGTGTGTGTGTGTGTACGTGTATATATATATATATATATATACCTTATAACCTGTTAGTGTCTTCTAGGGAACGCTAGTGGCCTAATGGTTAAAGAGTTACCAACCCAAAAGCAGTTTGAACCCATCTACTCTTCTGTGGGAGAAAGATGGGCAGCTTCCTCCAGTGCAACCTATAGCCTCAGAAAACCCACTGGAGTGTCAGATATGAGTCAGTCTCCCACTCAACAGCAATGAGTTACTAGCATCTGTTACTTTTATATGAAGAGGGAAATGGGCTTATCGCTATGTAAGTAAGTGGTTCTCAGCCACAGTAATGTCACTCTAGATGACCATAGTGGAACCCCAGGAAGCATGCTCTCTTACCTACAAAGTGTCAAGAATGTAGTGTGCTCTTTTCTGTTTACGACTTAACTTTTTGACTCAGAACCATTTTGGTATCCCCTTTAACTACTCGCCTACTCCCAGCCAGTGAGGACATTTAGTATCTGTTCTCATAGAGTTTTAAAGCGTGCCCTTTCCTAGGACAGGGAATGAATTCTGGCTGGCTTCTCTTTGTGGAAACCAGGTTGTTTAATGACATTTTCTTGGTTACTCTTTTGGCCACATGTTTGAAAGAAAGAATTCCCGTTGAGACATCCAAGACCTTTTAATTAGGTACAGCTTTCCTGACTGTGGGTGGAATGCTTCTCCCCCTAAACCACTCAGTAACGTGTGGTCTGCAAGTAGGCGGCTTGGGAGTAATTTTCCATCTGTACTAAATGGTGTTCACTTACCACCTAAGAAGTGAACTCAACTTGGCTTGCACACCGCGGAAGCTACCTGCCAACAAGATGAGCATCTCAGCCTAACACTTAGGTGTCTCTATCACACCTTTTCAACAGACCTTCCTGACTCACTCTTCCGTTATACTTTCCCATCACATTGTATTTTCTGCACAGAAGGGTACAGACGGTCTTCACGTCTTTCCCAAGAATGCCCTGCATTGTTCTTTCTTGACTCATAGTCTCCATCAGCGCTGTACTTTTGCTTCGGATGCTTGTAATTTCTGCCTGTCAAAATATCTAAGATTGGCTCAAAAGATCCCGAGTCGGTCTTCATTTCCCTGATCTTGGCTTGTCATCCAGACCTTGCTCCTTTTACCAGGTGCTAAGACAGCTCTGAGGCTGTTCCTATGCCATCTCTTATATCCATGCTGCCCAAACACCCTCAGTTCTAAATGCTGCTTCCCCCATCTTTCCTCCCTCCATGATTCATCTGATGATGCATGCTTTATTTAAAAAAAAATCTTTTTAAGGTGTTAATAGTCTATGATGGCTTTTGATGCTAACTATTTCCACATATTAATAACAGAGGCCTCTAATGTTCCTACTTCAGTTACAATCAGGTGACACAAGCCAATTGGGGGGTGGGAGATTATTTTGGAGGTCAAGTTGGGGAAGAGATGAGGGTAACAAGAACCTACCCTTCAATCACACTTGTATAAATGCGCTGGCAGAGGCCATTTTCAGAGGGCTGCTGTATGGAAGGTTTTTCTCCACCTCATAAACACAGGCTTATTAACACCGCCTCCAGCAACATCTCAGCACAAGCGTGGTGCCTCAGGCGGAGATGAGTGCATCTGGCAGGCTTTCTCTGTAATTAACTCCACTTACTTGGCAAATTGCAATAGCAAGGCTGTGGTCCAAAGAAACAAGAGTTTGTGATTTCCATATTTGACCCCAAAACGGAACGTAGCCTGGCTGAACCACTGGAGCTGGCCCTTGATCATGTGAGGTGTGCCAAGTACAGCTGGGTTATGTGGCTTGGGTACTTTTTTGGAATATGGGAGTTTCAAGGCAAAACAGCTAAAGTATGCCATGCTGTTTTCCTCCCCAAACGTGATAAGGGTGAGACCAACAGACAGAATGAACTTGCTGGAAAAGGGACTGAACACTTTTAATGTTAACTTGCTAAAGGTTTTCCAGGACTTCTCTTAGTTAATCTTCACTTCAACTTTCTGAAGCAGTACAATGTTTTCCGCAATGGAGTGTACTAAAAGTAACAGGCTGAGCAGAGTCAAGGCCCGTCTCCGAGATCTCATTCCTAAGTGGAGGTGCCAGGATTTCAATCACATCTGTAATGCAAGGGTTAGAAACACAGCAAGCTGCAACAACAGGCTTCTCTGTTAATAAGTCACACTGCTCTTGTGCATTCCATATAAACCGAGGTGTGGTAGTTTCTGCATTTTAGGACACATTAATGCTTGATGATGATTGATGAAGTCATTGCTACTTTTTGTTCTTCCCTTCCAAAAGCACCAATTTTAAATATGCCTTCAGCATCTGCCTAAAATGTATACTTCTAAACTTGACTCTAAGTTTGCAAAATGCATTTGGTAGAAACTAAGCTACCTGAAATAACTTTGAAAGGTTGCATCTGGGTCATGCCTGTACCTAATCTCCATATTTATTATCCCCACTTCCTTCAGAATGGAAAGTGCTAATTAAATCACACAAATCTTCACACAAGTATTTGTGCTAATTCCTCCTAAACGTCTTCTATCCTGGTTTACAGTATACAATCAACCCATTTGACTGTAGTAATTCTAATAGGTGCTAGTCTACTTTCAATTTGTAGTCTTGGAAACCCTATGGGGCAGTTCTAACCTGTTCTATAGGGTTGCTATAAATTGGAATTTTACTTGGTTGTAGTGTTATTGTTAGGTGCCACTGAGTATGACTCATAGTCACCTTACAAACAACCAATCTGAACGCTGTCCCAACGTCACAATTTCTAGCACACTCAAGCCTACTGCTGCAGTGACTCTGTCAATTCACCTGGTGGAGGGTCTTCCTCTCCTTTGTCATCCCCTCACCTTTCTTTCTCCAAGGAATAGCATCTCCTAGCAACATGCCCAGAGTATACACAACGGAGCTTTGCTATCCTTGCCTCCAAGGAACACTCGGGCTGCACCTTTTCCAAGACACTTCTGTCTGTTCTTTGGCAGTCCATGGACTTGATTTGGTAGCAATATTTGGTCCAAACATGAGACATGATTTTTTTTGTCCTCAACAATAAACTGTGAATAAAGCTTTTTTATTTACACAGTGGAATTTAAAACACCTAATTAAACAAGCTTTGTTACTGTTGTTGATTGCCTTCGAGTCAAGCATGACTCATAGTGACCCTATGAAAAGAATAAATCTTTTTTTTTTCTACACAGTGGAATTTAAAACACCTAATTAAACAAGCTTTACTGTGTTTTTATGCGTTCTGGTGGTGCAACAATTAAAGCACTCAGCTGTTAACCGAAAAGTTAGTGGCTCAGACTGACTAGCTGCATCTCAAGGGAAAGAAGGGGCAGTCATCTTCCTCCAAAGACCAGCCTTGGAAACCCTCTGGGCAGTCTATACTCATACGAGGTCATAAGTGAGAATCAACTCTGCAGCAGTAAGTTTACTTTCTTCTTGAGAAGGTAATAATAGCCCTGGAGGGAGCTCTGGAGACCTAGTGGGTAAGGAGTTGCACTGCCAACCCGAAGGCATGTAATTAGAATCCAGTTGCTGCACTGCAGGAGAGAGATGGGTGATGTCTTCCTGTGCGATTTACAGCCTCTGAAAACCCACTGGAAGGTCAGTTATGAGTCAGTTCTGATTCTACGGCAATGCGTGTGTAGTTTAATACTCTTGGAAGAAACAAAATTCATCTAATGTCGTATCTCCCAGACGGTTAAAACATAAAATCACATGTTGAGAATCTCCTCTCTTCAAATCTGATTTCTAACCCTGTGCTTCAGTTCTACCATAGCACGACCCGTGGGTGAACGCTTTTTATCACTGTCACAGTGACATCTGGAGAGTCCACAGCTGGGTTACCTGACGGCTTGATTCCAGATGGAATGAATAAATAAAAGCTATCTGATTTTGAAAGAATGAAAAAAAAAAAAAAAAAAAAGGTATCTGATGATACTTTAATGGTCCTGGACCTTTATGAGGCAGTGTGCTTGTTTGGACAAGTCTCAGGACTGAACATGGTTCAGGCAGGTAGACATGTGACACAGAAGATGAATATGGCACCAGAGGGACTCCACACACAAGTCATCATCTGAGGGCTAGGAAATACTCCATGGCCATGCGTGGCTAGGACGCTCACTAGGACAAAGTTAAGCACAAACTGCCGACTCCCTCACCTACGGTTAATACATCCTCCACTATTACAGCTCTCAGTGTTTATATGTAAGTTTTTAGCTCTTAAATCTAGCAAAAACACTTGTAGTAACTCAGGATCCACTCCTCCTTAACTCTCTGTCTCAGCAGGTTTCCATATATGGATTTGCAGGCTTGCATTTGCTCACTTGATGCAAATGACACGTAACTCAGGGGAAAGGGTACTAAGCTGCCGGGAAGATTAACCAGAGGACAACTAGTATGCAACCAAACTCTTTAAAAGTCTCATTAAACAGAACACTGAGCTAACACAGAATCCTACATTCTGCATTTCTCTTTCTCTTGACTTGGATTCTTTTAAACCACCTCAGGTTTGTTCTGTCCTATCTGGAGAATGTTGGGCTTATTTCCCACCTTGACAGGGACTGGGAGCAGAGATATGCACCCATGTTTTGTTCTGCTGACAGCAAAAAAAGGAGGCACCACTAGAACCCCTCAGCCTAGGCTCACCTATCATCTGGCTAGAGACTTTTAATGGCCAGGAGGCCAAAACTGAAACTGTGTCTACAGGCTGTAACATGGAATAACATTATTATAAAAGCATTAAACATGTGCATGCATTGTCTCATTTAATGTTCATAACTCCATGAGGTAGGCTCTATTATTACTCTCATTTTATTGGTGAAAAAGGTACAGAGGCGAAATAACTTGCCTGAGATCATATACTTAAGAAGTGGTGAGGATGGAATTCAAACCCAGCAGCCGGACTCCATGCTCTTAACTATTAGTCAAGAAGTCCAAAAGGACAAAAACCACCTAACACCACCGCTATAAAACAGGACTGACATGGGAGAGGGGGGAAACTAAGCAAGGAAGGGATAAATAATGAACACTGAATTGGAGCAGATGAAGAAAAGAACTGTTTAAAAGGAATGTATGATTAGGCATTATCTGTATGACAGCAGTCCAGAATAAGAGGTGCATAGCAAAGTGAGCCTGGGGGAGGAAATTATGCAACAATGATTTTTTTCTTTTTGTGAACAGAGAAGAAGGGGTTTGGAGGAAAATGTGCAACAATGAGTGAAAGAAAAATCTAACTTTTTACTAAACTTTTGTTAAAATTATAATTTAAAACCCCCCCAAAACAAGTTCAATGTCCTATCAGTCTTATTTCTGAGAGACTTTCAAAGGGGCAGGGAGTAATACCCCTTCACAACGTTTTGACTGTTTGCTCCATTAACTCACACCTCAAGTCAAGGAATGAGGGGGAACAGAATCGCTTATGAAGAAGGCTGACAAAGTTCCCCACAGAATTTTGCTCCCAAAGCTCTGATTAAAATGAAAAATACATAGTTAATCCAAACCAAAATATTTACAATCAGCTGTAAAAGAAGCTGAGCACAACTGAAGGTAATAAATGAAAAAGTAACCAATCAATCCATCAAACAAACACCAAATACTCAAAGAACGAAATGAAAGAGGTATAATTCCCCACCATTCCCCTAAAGCCACAGGGGTACATTGAGACAAGGAATGAGCTCTGCTGGTCATTTGTTCTGTCAAGAGTAGCTGAGCTTCAAGATGCAATGCATGTCAAGAAGCCATGGCCTAAATCCAGGGCAGAGAAGATTAGACTAAACCTTGGTCAACCCTAAGGTGCACTAATGCTTTCAGTCTCTTCCCTAAAATCCTCCAAGGTTAATGAAAGGTACGTGGGAGTACCGGAAGCACTCACAGGAGGCTCTCAAGTCAGTGAACTGACTGTCAAACACTCCTGTGGTGTCAAGAGCTCATTGTTCAAACTGGCTGTCTTAGCCTTTGACTTTGCCAGGTGGATGGCCGGAAATAAGTGAACTGGGTGTTAGCCTGTCCACAAAGGGACTGGCTAGTACTGTCACTAGATTGAGCAGATTCAGCTGCAGATTTGAGAATCTTATCATTAGCAAAGAAGCAGCAAGAGAACGCTGCTTGCCTTTTGGGGCCAAAGATTCTTGTGCTAGCCAGACCTATGGGAGAGTAGCCACCACCAAAGTGGAGCACCAAAGACATGAAACAGAGCTGCACTTAGGACGTCTACTCCTAGAACCAGAGCTAAGAATCTCTGTCAAAGTTTGTTGGAGGCCTAGGGGGTAGGATGTGTCATAATTGGCAGGACTAAGAAATGAAAGCTGCAAGGCTGAAGGGTGAGATGCCTGTGAATTCACTTAAGAAGCTGTCCTGACTGACTGATTATATTTCCTACCAGTCTGAATTGTAGCCTTTGGACTCCCCTAATGTGGTCCTGTGTGGTCTTGGTGCTGGGATGAGTGAAAAGAAGAGCAGGAGCTTGGGGGACATGTCTGACCTCGTAGGAATTGGTTTTGCATTGTTGAAGCTGTTGATGGAGGCAGTTCCCCATTGTGGAGTTGATAAGTTCAGATATGGCAGTCCCCACACAGTCCTTGCTCTTTTTATACACAATCAGAGAAGACAAGTCTTCTGCTTACCTTCTTCAAACCCATCCCGGAATGAGCCAGAGCGACTCATGGTCCTGCTCTTCTCATCCAGGGACATGGAGCTGTTCCGGAAGCGGCTGTCAGTGTACGGGTCATACTGCCCATCAGCATTGGAGAGGCTATGGGTCCTCAGCATGGTTGGGTTGGATAAGCTCATCTGGGTGACAGTGGTGGGACTTGCTGGAATGGAATCAAAAGTTTGGAAATGTCATGCTTGTTCAGTTCTTACATGAGGACAAACAAATAGGTATCTGCTTATTTTCAGTCACACACATTCCTGCCAACTTCTCTCCCTGTCTGTTTCCTAAAAGGTGGTCACATCAACACTGAGTTACAAGCTCAGAGCTAAAAATAAGGGAGGAGAGACAGGTCATTTCCAAAGCAAAGCTCTTGGCTTCAGCTTTCCAACTTGGCACGCTCAGACAAGCCAGTGTCACCTTCCAGGCATCAGCTAATTACTCCCTGGACTCATCTGGAACAATTCTTTCTAAAGTCAAAGCCCAAAATAGTTCAGCCCAGCTTTTGATCAGATGGGAAGCATTTATGCATAACAAGAATCTCTTGCCTCAAAGAGTTATGGCTGGGAAAGAACAATACAGACTCAAGTCCCATCACCACAAATAGAGAACATTTAATGATAGTGTATAGAGAGCTTTTAACTCAAAGGGTACACATTTACCTGAGCCAAAACTGACCTTAGAACATGCTATACATTTTGGCAATGTACATTTTTCCCCCCAGAAGTATCTATTCAGTTAATAAAAAATTAAGATTTAATAAATGGAGATTTTATTTCCATAGCCATGATATATATACTTATTATTTGTTGACCCAAAATCTTTCTTTCACAAAGCCACACAAAACATCAACAGCCTCAGACAGTGTTCTAAAAAGACTATCACAATTGCTCTGTTAATTCCTTTATCTTTTATGTATATTTTGGATTATTTTCCCCCTTGTATTAGTTTTTACTTATGCATTTTTAAACTCTGTTGTTCATATCTTTTGACTATAAATATGACAAATTATTTATAAAATAATAAGCTTTGTTGTTATGTGCTGTCAAGTCGCCTGGGACCCATAGTGACCCTATGTACAGCAGCTCTGAACCTTGCTCTGTCCTGACCCAGTCTAATTCTGACACACCCATCCCTATGGCCCCAGTTACTGTATCAGTCCATATCATCCAGGATCTAGTTTACAAACTATACCTCTCCTGAATTTATTTTCCCAGGTAGTGTAGTCCATAGAGTTGCACTTTTAAACCCAAAGGTCACACATGCCTGTCTGATGATTTGAATCCACTTGTAACTCCAAGGCAGAACGCTGAAAAATCTTCCTCTACGTAGTTTGCAGCCACAGAAACTGCTGGAGGGTCAGCTATGAGTTGATTCTGACTTGATGGTAGTGAATTTTAGGTTTTTAATTCTAAAATGCATGATGAGATTGGAAGGCAGTTTCCATCTCTAACATTCCAAGGCCTAGCCCCTACCCTATAATATGCAGCTGTTTGCTTAGGCTTTCCTCATAGTTTCAGCTAGCAATCATCTTTCCTGAATACAATATTAGCTATCTGTTTATATCCCATTTAGACACAGTTTCAGTGAAAGCTCTGGATTGCTCTTTCTCACTATTTTATGCATCTAGGTAGATATGCTTCTTCTTTTTACAAAGACTCTACTGATATATCAGCAGGGACTACATTACAAATTCTTTTCTCTTCCCCACTGTGCCAATCAATGCAACATGACAGTAGAAAGTATTTCTAAGAATACTAGCTTAATTACAATCTGACTGTTCTCCCCTAGCTAAAAAGATAACCAAACATAAACTGTATGCTGTAAAATCTACTTCTCCTGAGGCCTTGGAAATACAGTGCATTCTTTTCAGTGCAATTACCCCCTAGGTATCAAAAAGGAAAAGAAAATTTCAATGCTATTATCCCATTTGTATAAACCAGAAAAAGAAAATCAGAGTATCAACACCTTGGCTATTTTCTCTATTTCTTTGCTATCAATCTCCTATACTCAAATGGCACAGCTTAGAGCAGATCAGTGACTGAGAGTGATGTGACCACCTGTCTATGACCCCATCTCTTGACAGACACAAGATGGAGCTATGGTGGCTCAGTGGTGAGGAGTCAGGCTGCCAACCCAAAACCATGATGTTCAGATCACCAGCTGCTCTGTGGGAAAAAGAGAGGTGATATCCGATCATGAAACCTACTGCCTCTGAAACCTGCCAGAGGGTTAACTATGAATCAGCTTAGACTAGATGATCCGTAACAGCTTCCAAGACCAAGATAATCACTGCTGATGAACCCAGCTAATGATAAGGGGTTACTCACCAAGTTGGGAAAAGTTGAATCTGGTCCCGGAGGGAGAAGTCACACTGGAGCCAGAGGAAAAGGGGGAATTGGAAGCGGTATCCTGCAAACCTCCTGCAGAGTGGGACCGTAACCATTCTTTAGAGTCTTCTTGTGTGCGAAGTTGGGAGGTGGGAGTATACCTAGATAGACAGAAATCAAGCTGGGATTAACTATACATGACATTTATGAAAATGAACTCTGCAGAAGTGAAGGTAAATATATATAAAATATATGCATCTAAAGATGATTTAAAAGAGCCACATCCCTACACACCCTGAAACTTATTAAGTTTCTTAAAAAATTTTTTTTAACTCCCTACTTAGCCGCCTTTGGGGAAAATTGCAATTCCTTTCAGTTTAAGAGAAATATATAAAAGAAACAAGACGTAAATGCTCCAAAGAGCCGTCACTGGGCGTATCTGTAACATGTTGATTCATGACAGTGTCATGTCAAAGCCCCCACCTTGACAGCACGGAGGCAACAATACATGCTGCTGTCAGAGCTCTGAGGAGCCTTTCCTCAGCTAATGCATGGTTTCTGTGTTCTGGAGCACAATAAAGTAGCCCTGAGTCAGCGTGAAGCAGACACCACCTTTGGAAAGGGAAGAGGTCCAAGACTGCTGGTGCTTATAGCACTGGCTACAACCAAGCACAGATTAGCAGGCTTTGTATATGCAGGGCCTGTAGAAGTTACATGGTTCTCCTCATTTATTCTTAAGTATATTTGGTAATGATTGAGCACATGGCAAAAATGTGCTAGGTGTCTTTACAGACACCGTGTCACTGAAGCCCCAGAACTCTACAACAATGCAGAGGCTGTTATTCCTGGTTTCAGAAAGAATATGTTCTTTATTCCGATATTTAGGGAAGGCAAGTGCCTTGACTTTAAAGCACACAGCTGAGACTCCATGTTTCTTGATTTTCGAATCTATGTTCATTTCTTCTTCCCTAAAGTTTACATCTAGAACTTGTGAAGTAGTTAAAGTACCGTTGGGTTTACAAGCAGAGGCGCCAAGGGCCAACCACTGACTCTGCAGTTAGAAAGCGACTTTTGGTATTCATGATGAGTTGCTGCTTTGTTGGTATCGAGTATGGATGTTTGTGTGGAGGGACTAAGCTAAAAATGGAGAGCAACAGTGAATGGAAACAGGAAAATGTTTCTTCCTCAATGTTTTTACTACAGAGTTTGATGGACACACAGTGTCCTAAGTCATGTCAATTACCTGTTCAAGTAATTTTATTCTGAATTTATGGAAAATCAGCTTAAAAACCCAGTTACATTATTTTGAAATGATAGAATCTACTACATAAATATATGTAGCCTTTCAAAATATCAGTACCTACTGTAGTTAGTTTTGGGACAACAATAGGGCATCAAAGTCAAATTCACATTAAGAGTGGCCTTAATTTAAGCATCTGGCATATAAGTTGGTAAGCTCACTCATTTCACTGTCACCAAATTAGAGCTGACTCACAGCTGACCATCCACTGGTTTCTCGGAGGCTGTGAGTCACGTGGGAGGAGATTACCCACCTTTCTCTCAGGGAGTCACTGGTGGATTTGAACCATGACACACACACCACCTTTGGGCTAGCAGTGGAACACTCTATGGACTAGGCTACCAAAAGCTGCTTCTATTTGTTGACAAGTACTCCCAAGAGACATGATATAAACTACTAGGAAACAAAAGGTTTTGCCAGTTCCCCCTTCCAAGTACTCTTTCTGTTAGAAAATATGTTGGGGATTTTTTTTCCCTCAATACTTTCCATCAAAGGTTCTTAGAACTGGCTCGACTTGTCACTCTTAGTAAAAGAAAGCATTGATACCTACCTCACGTCACTGTTCAAAATGCTCTCAACCTTAAGAGCTACACGTTATTAACTACAGACACACATGACAGCAATGAAACATTTCATTCCAAGTTCCATTTATGCAAAAGCACTTAATGCTTAGTGCAAGGTGAAGCTGATGCTACGAGGAACGAGGTGTTTAGAGAGCAAGAGAAATGACAGCTGCAACCAGAAGACAGTAAGATCATGAAGGTGGCATTAGCAAACTGAAATTCCTCGGGGTGGCAAAGTGATTCAGGTGATGTGAGCAATGGTGACTTACAGCATCTTGCTTTACCAGGACCAGAACCACAAATGAGCCCTAGCCACTACTTTTTAGAAATGAAAAGAGCCTTTTCTTTATTTCCCTCCCCCATTAAAAAAAAAAAATATCAGACACAAGTCTTATCGGGCATTGAAGGCTGAGCCAGTCTTTGATTAGACTATTGAGACAAGTTATCTGTCTTTAGTAATTTGATATGGCGGGGGAGAGAGGGATTCAAATTTGGGTGAAATCTCTCCTTCCTCTGCTCTTGTCCTTTGTACCAAATCAACATGCTGTAAGTCATGTTCTTTCTCTCGGAAGAGGCCCGTGAGCAGGATGGTCAGGGTGCACTGCTCAGTGATTAGCCCAGTAGCCCCGGAAGCAGCAGTGCGTGTGGACCGGCCCATGGATGACTGTCGTGGGATGGTTTACACATCAGGCCTGGAGAAACACAGACCCTGCTCAAGCAAATGGGCCAATAAATGGAGAGGGGAGAACGGGAGGGGAGTGATGGCAAGATTCATCCAAAGGGTCCTGCTGTGGTGGCCAAAGTGGAGAACCCCAGCCCAGACCAGATCCCCATCAGCCACGAGAGTCACACAGCCAAGCTCCAAAGCCACAACAGATGGCATGGACGCGAGGAGGAAACACAGATACCTGAGTCCTTTCTTAGGCAAAGTGTTCCTATCAAGGTGCGGGTCACTGTAGGAAAGTTAAAACAAAAATGAACTTCAGAGAAGGGAACACAGGGAATGGGAAGGGGAGAGAAGCTTGGGGAAGGGGCTACAGAGGTCTGAAAAAAGAGAGCAGTACTAACACCCACATTGCCAGGACGGCTCCCTCATCCCACTGGGCATGCAACACATCCACACAAAGCAGAGGAAAGCCCGTCCCTGGCCTGTGCTGACCTTAGTGCATACTTTACCCCCAGCTGCCCAACCTGAGGGGTCTCCTTTGCCCCCTTTCAAAGCAAACCTCCAGGGCTGCCAGACCTTAGACAGAGCCTGTGCCTTCAGCAGCCCATCTCTGCACCAACCTTACTGCTACTTGGAAATGGAGATGCCAGCTTCTCTAAACCCCCAAGTCCTAGCCTGCTCCCTAACTGCCCCTGGCAAGGACTTCAAGTGGGAAAAGGGACTCGTTGGAGGGTTTCAAGACACTAACAGTCTGCATATTTGGAATTCATAAGCAGTGAAGTAAATTCCAGGTTCCCCTGAGTTTCTGTGGCCCTTGCTAAGTGTAGCTAGGAGCTGAGTCCTGCGCCCAGGTCAGGGCATGTTACAACTTGCTGGTTGATAAAGTCAAGGCATTTGGATTTCCAAAGAATAGGAGTTTAAAGGCTTGGTTTGGTGTCTGACAAAAACAAGCTTTTTGTTACTGATGGGGTGAAAAGGTTTTACATTAAACTTTTTTTTTTTAACATAAAACAACATCTGTGTATTATGTTTGGCCAAACTATTGCTCCCCCACAAACTTAAGGTCAGTATCCACCCCTGCAGGCCCACTCACAGGGGAGCTGGGGGGCAGACACAGCCTCTTCATTTGCAAAGTCTCAACACTCCACATATTCTGTTTCATGATCATTACAGGAAATGGGCACATGGAACACAACAGCCCGCCGGACAGAATACGCCAAACTGCAGCAAAGGACTTAGAAAGGGAGAAGAGGCAGCTGTGTGGGGTGGGGAGTGGGGGAGCGGGCAAAGGTGAGGGCCACGCTGCACAGTGGGTGGTAGATCATTGCTGGGGCTACAAGAGGAGAGGGGAGAGAAAGGGAAGCGGGGCAGGGGTGGGGGGCAGGAGCATGCCACAGGAAAGCTGAAATGCAAGTGAGAGCTGAAATGCAAGTGTCCTGCGCTTTGCCGGACAGCGGAACAGACCCTCACTGGCATGTCCGGGTGCCACAGAGTACACTGGAGCCACAGATCACAAACACAAGCGGAAGCCTCAGGCCAACAGCCTTGCGCGGAACATCTAGCTGGACACAGATGGGTAGCGAAGCCTTGAGAGGGCTTGGTGGGGTCCCGGGCCTACAATGTCATTACCTGTCCTGTTTCCTGGGCAGAGTACTTCTGCAGAACTTAGGGCTAGCAGCAGGGGAAGAGAGAGGGCTAGAAGTCCAGGCAGGTGGAAAACAAGAGAAGGTACATTAGATTGGAAGAAAGTGGAGGCGTTGTTATATACAGTGATCAGAACAATTTTCTCATTCCCTGTGCTGATGCTGGCTTTCTTCCCTAAGTAGACAAACTCAACACGTGTCAAAACGGCAGTGAAACCCAGGACTCCATGGGTGCTTTTAATTCCTCGATTTACCATCTCTGAGGCTGCACTCCTTCGGTTGGCCAAGACCACATCTTCTCGGCTGCCTACAACAGGCTGCAGCTGGCCACCTTGTTTGCTTGCATAATTGCAAGCGGTGGGGAATGAAGCAGCTGATGAACAAATTGACTAACACGAGGGAATTTCAATGGCAGAATGTCATTCAAATAGAAGCATTCAGTCTGCCCTCAAGAGACTACTAGTGGCCCAGAGCAGAGAAAACCACAATGAAAAAAGGGTAACAGGCAGCAGGGCCAAGATGAGCTCCACCCCAAACTGGCTTCTTAAGGACAGGCAGAGCCATTAGAGAGAGAGAGAGGATTCACAGGCAAAGGGCAGTTAACAAGTGGGCTCCTTAACATCATCATTTACACCTGGGGAAGGAGGACCCCTTGAGGGAAGAGGCAGCCAAACAGTCAATACCAACCTTTCTGACAGCGTGGTCTTCACACTGTTAGTTCTGACAAAGGGAGTCAGAGAGTCGTCCTTCGAGGAGGCGAGGAGGCCAGTGGAGGAGTTGTGACTCAGTCCCCCTCCACTGCTGAGGGAAATGTCAATGGATTCACAGCTGGTATGGAGGCTGCTGACAGACTGAAAGCCCAGGCCGTCCTTGCTAACGGCCGAGGAGCTGCTGGCGTTGGTGCCCCAGGTGAGGCTGTTGGAAGGGCCCGAGTGGGCTGAGCTGGGGCTGGAGGCTAGAGGAGACTGGTTGATGTCCACATTCTTGCTGTAGAGAGGACTGCTGCTCCCGCTGCTCAGGACGCCACTGCCCGAGGGGGAGTCTAAGTTACCTTGCTGGGTCATGGTGGCGTGAGGATTGGAGATGACCACCGAATTTTTCATGTTTTCAGCTGTGGCGATGGGCACTTGCTTGGTAGGCTTCCCACCAAAGAGTCTGTGAAGAGACAGAGGGTTGTGCTGAACACCTGATGCCAAGGGCCATAGGAGCACCCCTGGGGCATCTGGGGGTGGTCACAGTCATTCCTAATGAAATGGCAAATAGTGGCCTACTGGGAGAAGTTGATTGTAAAATAGGCATGAAATTCTATGATTCAATTGGGACTTTAGCTCTATTTAAGCCAAGGGGCAACAGGGAGTACATTTCTAGACCTGGCCAATATCTTTCCCCCTTGCTTTCTATAATTAGACTAAGCAGAAAACCTGGCTCCTGAAAACATCTAGAGGGCAAAAAGCTGTCTTAATCGTCTTCGTATCCATGACTCCGGGCACAAAGCAAGCACTCAATTTATGAGGGTTCAGCTCAAAGGGATTTTGTTCCTTTGATCTCTGAGCACAGCACAAAGAATCATGAACTGGAGTCTAGAGGGTTTAGGGCCTGGGAAAAGCATCTCTGCAGATTTAGCCTCACTTGAAAGCCTGGCCGGAAAGATCTGTCCTTTAAGGCCAGAGAGCTTGTACTATCCAACGATAAACACAAAGATCTTGCTGGTTCTCAGACCAGATTATGGTGGGTGTGGACTGTTTATCTGTGACAGGTCATAGAGATGCTATTTCATGTCATTACTCTACTGCTCATATGCAGAAATGTGCCATTAGAAAAGAAGAATAACCCCAATAAAAAGTCCACTGCTATTGAGTGGAATCCTGCTCATGGTGACCACCAGGTTTCTGAGACTGTATCCTAACAAGCGAAGACTGTCTTATCTTTCTCTCATACAGCGATGGTGGATTCGAACCACAGACCTGTTGGGAATGACATAAATGCCTCCCTCTTCTGTTGGCAGGGATCTCTAGTTCTAGTAGAATGGCAAAATTGTCTTTAGGTCAGGCCTTTATATAATGTTAAGGCTTTATTCTCTATTCACTCAAGGCCACATGGGATGGGTAATTTCTGAAAAGTCACAAGGTTACTCCGAGTTAGCTTGACTTTTGGCTCCTCGCTTGACCTTGGTCAGCTCCAAACAACCCTATACCTCTTAAGTATTTTAACAACAAATAAATATTACTCAGCCCTACAATGCCTGGAGACAAAAGCCTGCTAACACCAAAAGAAGGAAAAAGCCTATTATACCAACCTGGCTTTCAAATGCTTAGTTATTTCTAGTGATGGGGGCCTCACCACTCAAAAGGATAATGTGCTCCATTGCCTAGCACTTCCAATCATCAGAAGAGCAAAATCCAACCCCTCTCTTTCCCTCTTTTTGCACATTGCTTCTAATATGACTGCTTATGTTAACAGCACAGAAAAGGCTCAATATTCTTTCTGTTGGCCCTTCAAATCATTCCAAAAGAATTATCACACTTCACCTACAATTTCTCCTCTCCAGACTAATGCACAGCAGGAGAACTGAGAACATCTTAACCATTTAAGGGGGTAGGGGGAAATGTAATTTAGCAGGAATTGGCTGAGAGGTAGGTGCTCAACACAGAGCCCAAGAAACAGCATGCATTTTTAAGTATTCTATTACACTAGCCTAAGGGTCTAGTAAAATGCCTTTGTAGTTACTAAAGGAAATCTATAATACCAAAGAGCAAATATTACATATAATACTTGAGGCGAGAAGCGGAGAACATTTTCATTTACAAGGCAATCTGTTAAAACAACAAAGAGCAGCCAAATAGGATCTCCCCCTGAAAAAAAGAATCATTACTGAAATTCTAATAATCAAGTCTAGACAAAGAACGGCGAAGTGCTTCATTATACCTTATGTGGAATGCTGCTTCTGAAGTCTCTTCAGGCATTCCTGTTCATCCCAAATAAACACATGTGTGTATATTCGAGAGATATATATATTCTGACCCCCACCCCCTCTTCCTTCTTAGGGATTTACTCTTTTCTCCAGATTTTTCAGAGACTGCACAATGAGCTTTAAACCATGTAGTTGCCACTGAGGGAGTCCAGTGAATATTAAGATGACATAACATGAAAATGGCAAAAGTTACACCAATTTAACCAGTAATCATTAAAAACCCAGTGAATGATACTCCTGCATAAAATTTCCACATTGGAATCGGGATGAGGATTATGCTTTTGCAAAGGATTTGGTATTCAAAATCAACTTCTTTTCAGAACACTTCTAAGAGTTTTGCTCAATTTTGTTTTTAAAGAAATGAAATTAAATGTAAAGAAATTAGATTTAAGAGACAAAGTTGAAATCATTGCTGCACGCATTCTTAAAAATTATAAAGAAATTAGATTTAAGAGACAAAGTTGAAATCATTGCTGCATGCATTCTTAAAAATTATAAGGAGTACTGAGCTCCTTGAGAAAAGGATGGGGCCAAGTTTCACTGTCTGCCATAATGATGTGGAAATTCAACCACCAAATTATCAAGGGGGAAAAAAAAGACTGTGACCTACCCAGATCTAAAGAGGATCAAGCAATCGTCTGACAAGGTAGCTAACTGCTACTGAGAGTTTCCTGTGGGCCAGAGACAGCTACACAGATTCATTTCCACAACCCTACGAGGTAGATTTTATCACCCCATTGCACAGATAAGGAAACTGAGGCACACTTTTGTTAAATAAGGTTGCAGGGTTTGTTAGGACACACTCATGATTTGAACTCAAACATGGATGATTCTAGAAGGTTATGTTTTCATCATAGTATGGGAAAATAATCTATCCAGGGTGAAACTGTGGACAGGATCTGAGCAAACAACTTTGCCTGAGGAATGAATGAAGAATAGCAGAGGCTGCTTTAAACAAGAAATAAGAAATGAATAATGCAGGATGTTATTAAATGTATTCCAGTTATGCTGTGTACCACTGGCTCACTTACCTGCGCAGTGTGGGAGAGGCCACATCTGGGTATTTGGCCCCGGGCTGTAGAGTGGCCTGAGCCGCACTGGACACAGGCTGGGCAGCTGGGTTCACCTTCACTGAGTTACAAGAGGCCACACTCTCGTTGTCTGACGAGATGCCTTTCTCCTTGTCCGTCTGGTTGACCAGGCCTGGGAGAGAGCTGCCCAGGGCCGTCTTAGAAGGCTCCCTCAGCTTGGGTACTGGCAGTCCTGCTGACTTGCTGCTGATGTTGGAATCTATGCTGCTGGTACTAGACCTGTTCCCAGCTCCACTGCGGCTGTTGGACTTACTCGGCCGTGGCAAACTTCGGTACTGTAAGTTTGTCCGAGAGCTAAGAGACAGGTACCCATCGTCCTGATTCTGGGCCCCATCCATGCTTGTCTTCCGGCCAGTAGACCGGCCCACAAGGGCAGACGACTTCGGGATCTTGCCCAGTGTGGCTGACCTGCTCGTGACAGTGGCCCCGCTGGCCGTGATCATGGCCAGACCGGCCGCCGAGCCGCTCTGCTTCTTGAATCCGAAGCTGTTGGCATTGGCAGTGGGTGTCCGGGAGCTGCTGGGAAGGGGCTTTTTGGACTCGTCCCCGCTGCTGCGACCCGCATCTGATGGGGAACGCTTCACCTGGGAGGCTTTGGGAGACAGCCTTCCTTTCTCCGACACCTTGGCATCGTCTGTTTTTCCTGAGAGAGAAATCAGCAAGGTTATCTGCAAACCAAGAACCCAGCTTACCCACCTCATCTGCTTATGATTCTTCTCTGCTCTGCTCCTTGGGGAAAGTAGACTCTTGGGAGGCTGAGGAAAAGGCTTTTTATAAAGATGATCTTGTCGGTTACTGTCACGTTAAGTCTTTTAGGAGATGTCAATAATTTTACTCATTTGCAAAGCAGGTAAAATTCACCCAGGATAAAGCAAAACCAAATAATCACTGGGCTATCTGGGAAAAATCACCGTTGTTCACCAGCCTTTCCCCTTCTCTGTTAAAAGGCTGTCTGACATTTCCAGAGGGCAGCCCTGTCTTCTTGTAAAAATATGGCCTTATTTACTCCCTAGTCCCTAAATCATGGACAACAATAACTTCACAACTGAACAGTCTGCAGGCACACCCCCTTGACTGGCCTACACAGGGTACCTGTCTCACCCTCCTGAATATGCCTCCGTAGGTAAGCCACCTTCAGAGCCTAAGAGGCTCCCACCCTTACAATAATTCCAAAGCAAAAAAACTAGGGATGTGAATTTTTAGGAAGGTTCACTAACAATAGAGTCAGAGCCCTCTGAAAACATACCTGGGGGTTTATAGCGAATTAGGAAAAACGTGTGAGTCAGTCCTTCCTGGAGTTACTATGGTTTTAGTTTTCAAACTGGCAGCGGACACAGTGGACACATTCCCCTTACTCACCAGTTCCTGGGGTCTTCAGTGTTCCCGCTGGGGCGGCGGGCTTCGTCCTGGGCATGGTGATGCCCACCTGAGCTGTCATGCCTCGCCGCCATGAGCCTGTCTGGGAGATGACAGGGTTCTTCCTGCCCGACGTGCTTTTGTCGGATTCATCAGACACGTCAGAGGGATTCCGCCTCCATTTGGAGCCCGGCTCCATCTTTATGCCACTGTCTGACCCTCCGTCTGACTTCTTGATGTCATCACCAGACCACAGGGAGTTCCTCTCCACCTGCGAGTGCTTCTCAGCATCAGTCTGCGGACAGAGACTCCCCAGAATTAGTCCCCCTCAAGTCCCAGGCAAGGCAGCCCCATGCCATGGAGGCAATAACATCAGCACGGAATTGGGTAAGGGAAAAAGGATAACTACTTTTACAGGGTTCAAGCCTTTGGACTTGTTCTAAAGCCTAATAGTTTGGGTCTAAAGGAAGGTAATGAATGAAAATGTATCCTAGAGGGCTGATCTGGCAGGAGAGTTAAAAGGGCCAAGAGAAAAGAGAGAAGGAGTCCTGTGGACGAGCAGCCCCGGAGGGGACAGAACGGGCCGCAATTCAACCACTAGCTCTCAGACTGGGAGAGCAGCCCCTACAGCTCCAGCGCTGGGTCTCTCACAAGGACCCAGCCGCCCAGCCCGGATCCTGGCTTCCCTTGTTCTTCCCAGCCCTCCACTGGCACTGAGATCTCTGGATCTAGCACAGCATCACGGCCTCACACACCGAGGGAGCAAACGAGCGTGGCTGCTGGTTTCACTCGGATCAGGGAGGGACAGGCGCTAGGAGGGAAGAAATGCTCAAAGCCCACTCCACCAACTGCTAAAAGCCAACGGGTGCCTGCTCCCACCCCGGCCTCATTTATATGTCACTATGTAGCTCCCCTTGTGTGGTTTTGTTCAGACAAGGGATATAATTAGTCAGTTTTCTTTGGAAGAGCTCTGACCTGCTGGCCATGGAAGCCAGGAGGGGACAGGGTGTGATGTTAATGATCTGCTGTAGATAAAAGGCTAAACAGAAGGCGTTGGGGGGCTTCCATGGAGGGGACATAAGGAGCAGAAGTAGCAGCATAGGGAAGGAAGAACAGCACCACTTTACAGATTTTTCTATTTTAGGACTGAATCTTGTATTTGCTATATTTAACCACCAAGAGTGGACAACATCAGCAAGGCGGGAAATTAAAATGAAAACTTGGCAAAAACTTGAGTGGTACCGATTCCTCCCTGTACTAAATATACTCGTCAGTGAGACCAAAGCTAGACATGGACAAGCAGTGCACACTCTCTCTACAGCCATTGGTGACCTCTTCTCTCTCTGTCCACTCCCTCCTTAAGGCCATGCATCCCCTGCAGCCACCATGCATGCCTTATCCATTCAGTCATCCCTAAGTACACACAGTGCACCAGCTGGGTCCAAGACCCACACAGCGAGAGAATAGAACATCCCTGACCATGAGAAGTATGGGCGGAGGCGCCCCCTCGTCTGGGTGAAGAACAGGAGATTCATCAAGGCTTGAGGGGTCCAACTGGCTGCCACCAAGCCAATTCCAATTCCTAGAACTTCACATGTGGTGAGTAAAAGAAAAACATGCCTTTCAAGCTATTACACACTAAGCAAATATCATCTGATCAAGGTCACTATCTGGTCAAGGAAGGTTAAGTAGCTAAGTAGTGCTGTCTTTATCTCCATTTCACAGAGTAAAGTTGCCCATTTCCTGCCCCAATTACCTCAGCCTGAGGGAATTCTAGCCGTCTTTTCAGACATTTTCAGTACCTTTATTCAGCCAGGATTTACTAAATGCTACTACTGAGAAAGTGAGAATCCGTGGACAAGATGGATTTCAATTTGTCAATTTTCTTATGATTCAATGAAGGATGCAGATGGGGGATAAACAAAGGCAAATAAATGAGCATTTGTGAAGTATGAGGAACGTTATATAGGAAAGGAGCAAAGAGTCAAAGACAAATGCTGGCACAGATGCAGTTTTTATTATGGTGGTGTGGTATCTTCTCTTTGAAGAAGTACCCTAAAAGAATGAGAAAACAAAATAAAACTTACCAGGATTTTGGGGACTTTGAAAGCATTCATTTGCTCATTCATTCATTCATTTAACAAATACTGTTGGGCAGCATTAGATGTCAGACAAGGTGGTATGAAGAAGTACCACGATGAAAAAGACCAAATCATTACCCTTGTCGAGCTTATATTCAAGTACATTCTAATACACTCCAAGCAGTACCAGAAAAATTTAATTTAGTTCATACCATATCCTAAGTCAATACATTATTTATTTTTTGCTGTGACTATGTCTTATTTCCCTAAATCAAGCTATAGTGCTATTAATAGTGGGAGAAGCAGCAGTAACAGCTGAAATTTATTGAGCACTTACTATGTACTAGCACTGTGTTAAAGTTAATTCTAACCAAAATGTCTCTAAGGAGGTTAGTTATTATTTTCCATATTATGTGAGGTGCAGAATGGAAAAGAAACTTTAAAAAAGCGAAGAAGTAAAGGTTTTCATATCACAAAGCAAAGAACTAAAGATGCTGGGATTCTAACTGAGGAAAGTCTAACTCCAAAGGCCATGTTTTGATCACTGTGCTGCAGATGGCTTCTTTTGGACAAATTTAAGGAGGAGGCATTAGTGAATCTCCCGTAGCACTTAACAAAACACACCCAGGAGATTCTCAATCCGTTCTGACTGGCCTGGTTGTTCTTGACTCCAACCCAAGGGAAGACATCGGCTGTGTGCCAGGATCCTGCCCAGCCTCCTTTAGGACCCTGGTTTATGCATGGTAAAGCAAGAAAGCACATGACCCTGGCCCAGGACTCTCCCCTTCCAGAAAGAGAGATCACCCAAACATCCCAACCCCCTACAACTTGGACCTGGGCAGTTGTTGTTGTTAGGGGCTGTTGAATCAAATACATCTCATAGCGATTCTATGAACAACAGTTCTGAAGTCTGTCCTATGTGGTGCTATCAGCATCATCTCTGACACACTCGAGCCCATTGCTGCACTCACTGTACAATCCATCTCACTGAGGGTCTTCCTCACCTCTGCTGATCCTCCATCTCCCCAAGCATGATGTCCCTCTCCAAGGAACAGCCTCTGCTAGCCACATGCCCAAAGAATTTAAGATGAAATGTCGCCATCCTTAACTCTAAGAAGACTTTTGTCTGCATTTTCTGTAAGACATATTTGATTGTTCTTTTGGCAGTCCATGGAATATTCAGTGCTCTTCTCCAACATCTCAACTCTTAGGCATCAATTGTTCTACGGTCATCCTCATTCATTGTCCAGCCCTTGGAGAGATAGCAAGTGATTGAAAAGACCATGGCAAACTTAGGCATTTGCCTTAGTACACTTCCTGGCTTTGAAATGACATTTACTTAGCAAACTCTAACTGAGCTATCTGCCAGACCATGTGGTCGCACCACTGAGGAGTATAACAGTAAATACCCAGAGTTTATAAATAGAAGGGCTAGTAGGAAATCCACACAGGGATGAAAAAAAAATGTTGTAGCCCTCCCTTTCTTCTTTGCTGTATATATTTACTAGTTGTTTCTATGTCTTTTCTGAAGGCCTTTTTCTTGTGTTATGAGCACAGTCCACTTGATGACACGTAACAACAACAACATGGAAACCCACTTAACTGAGGGAAGATAGAGACACAACCCATATATAAACTGGAAGAAAATCTGGGTGAATGGAGAGTATACCCAAAGGGCCTAATCTTCTGAGTTGAGACGGTAGAATCGCTGTGCAGCACGAGAAGTGTGGGGAGGAAAACTTGGCGTGAAGTATAGAAAAGAATACAGACTTTGAAGTTTGACAGACTCAAGTTCAAGTGCTGGGCTCAGCCACTCATTTCCTGTGTGTGACCCTGGGGCAAGCTGCTTGACTTCCTAAGATCCTTCCCAGCTCACAGAATAGAGCCTTCTGAAGAAGAGAGAGATATATTAAATAGTCTCATTAACAGAAAGGACTCTTAAAAGGTTGATGTAGACTCAATAAGCGACCCATGGAGGGACTCAATAAACTTGGGCCCTTATTACAACCACCTCGTCATTGCCACCTATACCATCACTGCCTCAGAAAATACCCAGCACCCTCTAGTCCTCCTCTTTTGGAGCATAACTAATTTCTGTCTTGCATGAGAGTGAGCCTCTCTTTCCCATTCATGGCCACAAGCCTCTAGACACCTGGGACAATTACCTTCCTCATGCCTTTATTTCCTGCAGAATAAGAAGCTGAATTGGCTGGCATTTCAGCCCTAGTAACAACTGAAATAGCTATCACCATCATCAATCTTATCCTACCACCTGCCACTCTGTCACTCATCTTGCTAGGATCTGTGCTAAAGTCCAAAGTGTCTCTCTCCTGTCGTCTCTCTCTCTATGTATGTATGTATGTATGTATGTATGTATGTATATATACACATACATACATACACACACACATAAACACATATATACACATAAATGTACACACACATATACATACAGGTGTGTCAGAGACAGTAAGATGGGCACAAGATAGAGCAGGGTTTAGGGCTTGTTGTACATAGGGTCACTATGAGTCACAGACGGCTTGACAGCACGTAACAACAACATATGAAAGAAAGAGAGAGTGGTTGTTGTGTGTTGCAGTGTTGACCCACCAATATGTTTTCAGAGACTCTAAACTGCATGGGAGTGGTATATCCCTTATATACTTACAGTTAAAATGTTCCCATCTGAAGCTGAAGTCTTAAGCACATTTTATAGAATCAGAAAATGAAAGTCTATAGAGGAAAGTAACTTGTCCTGAATCAGAAGAACACAGAAGGCAGGCAGAAGGGGCGTACCTACCCTGCTTAGTTAGATCCTGTCCCTGTACCACACCACCATTTACTGATAACACTGACAGAGCTGCCCCAAGTACCCCAGGCATAGTCAGAGGGCAGGGGTTTTATTCATACAAAATTAAAGGGTTTTTTTTTCTGTAGCAAGAAATAAAACGATGTGGGAAAGGAATTGTGAAATGGGGCCTTGCACAGAACAGAGCATCATCAGGCCACACACAAGTACAGAAATAAATGTGTGCTGGGGAAGAGATGCATGTTTTACAAAGTCCTCAGCTACCAACTCACTGCCCTAAATATGCAATGCTGCACAACATTAGATCAAATGCTTGGAAAATGCAAATAAGGTAGATTATAAATCCACTCAACTTTCAGTGGCTGACATGCATGGAGAAGGGATGCAGAGAGACAGAAAATCCAAACAAAATTAAGAAAGAAAAGCAGTGAATTGTGAATACAAGGTACTGAGAGAAACAAACATGTTCACTCTCACACTCACCCTTCAAGGAAGGTTTCACTACCGCAATTTTAGGGATAAGGAGGCGAAAGCTCAGGGCTGCTGACTAGTTTATTCAAAGACGTGGTTAACTGAGTGATGTCAGAGTCCATGCCTTCTCCACACTCGCTCACTCTCCTGGAGAGAGTTGGTCAAGAGGATCTCAGGCCTCGAGCAAGGGACTCTCTGTCCCAAGTAAGCTGAGGAGCCGAGTGTACAAAGAGGTCCACAGCTGTGTCCCCTGCCCTCCCGAGGGCATCTTCCATGCTCCCCAAAGTCTCTGAGGAAAATAATCACTTACACACAAAGAGGACTTCCTTCTCCCACGAGCACTCCTGGGGTTTCCGCCGCCTCTTTCCGTCAGCTAAATGAGGCTGTTCCTTAGCTTTTCCAGACAATAACTTCCCTGTTCCTTAAATGTCTTTCCTTTTGTTTGTTCCACAGAAGCTTCTTAAATATGAACACCTCGGCAGGCAACCTGTCCTCAGCCTGCTTTCCCAGCGGATGAGGCGAGCCTCCTTCTCCTGCCTCCCCATGCCTCGCCTGGCAGTGTTTGCTGCCATTCGTTTTGTCTGTGACAGGAACTAGAATGAGCATGGAAAGAGCAGCTCTTGGGGAAAGATGGCAATGCAGCTCTTCCTGCCACCTCATGAGGCTCAGGGAGGAGTAATGGCCCTTAGCGCGCCTCATAGTGAACCGGGGAGGAGGGCGCAAGCCTACAAAACGTGCTGATTCAAGTACTCAGAGATGCTCTCTGGACAGGAACAAAGGGATGCAGCTAAAAATCCATTTTCAGCAATCATCCCGATATGAATGGTGGTTACTATTGGCCCAAGCCTCCATCTATGTGGTTGCAAGATTGCTTAGTATTTCATTTTAATCTTGGGCAGCTTTACGAGGTCGGGGGACCTCTCAACAACCTAATAAATATTAAATTCTTTACAATCTCTGAAATTAACTTTTGATCTTGCTCAAAAGACAGGTTTGTGATATCATTTACCAGAAAAAAAGCAAACAGCTAATCAAAGCAGAAGGGAGCCTTGGCATGATCCGCATTCAAGTGTATCAGACAGGAAATCACCTGTAAATCCCAGATGCATCTCCTGTATTGATATGGAATACAGAACCCCACTCTGGCTCTGTGGGAAGGAAGGAAATAAAGACAAGGAGATTCTTCCAACATGTTTTACCAGCGTGAGCTTGTTTCTACCTTGTCACTAAACACAAGAGAAATCTCACTGGTTCACTCAGTTGTCAGTATCTAACCCCTATTCCGCTTCTCCCTTATTCACTTACACTCTCTCCCTGGCTCTCCATCCCTGGCTAACTCCTGAATACTGAGGCCCAGGTGATTAATTCCTTGAGTCTTCTGTCTTATTGTCTAAGGACAGTCTGAACGCTCCATTGTACTGCTTTCTGAAAATCACAGCAAGCCTCAGAAAAAATGTCTAGTGTCCACAAAGGGGGGAGGGATGGTGGCTAATGTGCCATTTGACAGTTGGCAGGTGGTAGGTTCCTATGGGGCTGGCTGAGTGTCTTCGACTCGCCTAATCACAGATTAAACATTGCTCAGGCAGGGTGCTGTGGTTTTACTGCTCTTTTGACAAACTTTCTAATTGAAGTATAGCGTTTGTGTACAGCTGGAATATATTTTATAAAACATACCCACATAATTTCCACCCATAAAGATTCAGTACATTAACAGACCCCACCAAAGTCCCACGTGCCTTACTAGTCATTTACCTAACCACATTCCAGCCTCAACGTCAAGAATAATTAGAAATTCTGTTGGGGGGGGGTAATCTATGAACTACGAGGCAAAGCCAGCGGTGACGCATAATACAAGCCACCACAGGGCCAATGCTCACATTTCCAGGGGACGGAACCACTCCCACAACCTAACACATCCCTCATTTAGTCCTATCCTCAGAGAAGATTCCTTTAGATGCAACGAAACCGCCAATGCAGCTCCTGCTTGTATGGACTGAAAACCAGCTGGAAAGGAAGAGGCTATGAGAGGAAGGGGTGAAGGACATGGGTTGTGCAAGATTGTGTGGCCTCTTCTGAGCTTCCTCCGGGAGACTGTCATACTCCGGGCCTGACTGATGAAAATGGACAGTCATGACAAAGATCCCAGCCCACACAGGCCAGCGCTACGGCCACCTCTCCACACTCTTGGTGAAAAGCGCTCTTGCCTGGCGGGCCGATAACAAACTGGAGACTAGTTGTTACTAAGTGGAGTGGCATATGCCCCATCAGGTTTTCCAGGCTGTAATCTTTATGGGAGGAAGTGACCACATCTTGCTTCTATGGGGCTGCTGGCGGGATTTGAACTGTCAACTTTTTGGTTAGCAGCCAAAGCAATTAACCATTGTGCTACTTGGTCTCCTTATAGGAAGGATAGCATCTTATTTTACCATGAGGAAAATCTGTTTCTAAGATCAAACCATTGCAGTCACTAAGGAGGACTGTGTGGACAAATAAACATGCATGCATAAAACTGAAGCACACGTGCAACATGAACCAGGAATTGCTGCATTGGAGTTAATGAATGTGAGAGCTTAAAGGAGGAGCTGAAAACTCCAGTGCTCCAGGGTTAGTTATTTTAAAGAGTATTGCTGGCAGGGCAATGGCTGTGAACCGACTGGGGCTTGTGCCTGGCTGTAAGGACAGAGATAGGTATTTTGGCATAAGGAGGGTGTACGTTCAATGAAGCAGTATCTTCTGATTTTCAAGAGAAACTAAACATTCATGTGTAACGAAACTCTTTCAAAATTTTAACAAGGAACTCAGTTGATAAGCAGAGTGATACTGTGGGCGAAATAAAGCATGGAGGCGGGACTGAGGACTCTGGAGGTCCAGCCCTGGATACTCAGTCTTTGTTCCCTCACTGTGACTCTCTGACCAGCAGAGAGGGATGTTTCACATGGCCAAGACTGTCAGTGTGGCAGGGAGGAGACATTCTCAGGCTAAAAACGACCATCTGAGACATCCTTTTAAAACAAACTCATTATAAAACTGAGACCCAGGAAGGAAATATGATTTACCAAGTACACAGAAACCATGAGTAACAGAACTTCTCAATTTCCATTTCTATTGCCACAGTGCCTGGCCCCACTGCCTCCTCCTTTCATTGGAGGTAAAGGCCAGAGTCAGGGAGTTGTAAGCACAGGTAGCAGAAAGTGGGGCTCATCCCAAATGTCCCACCCTCAACCAAGACCAAGGCTCCCTGCCGGGGAAGGTCTTGTAGTCCTTACCTGCACATCCAGGTTTTTGCGGGATGAGGCAGGCGTGTTGGCATAGGAACTGATGGAGGAGCTGGTGTTGATGTCATCAGTGCTGAGGTTGTCTATGGTGTCACTGATTCCACTGCTGACGGAGCTGCTGTCATCCCAGCTGCCAAGACAAACATACCCTGAGCACCAAAACTGTACGCCTCTCCATCAGCCTGACAATCCTGATAGACGTGCATTGTCTGCAGAAGCCCCCATTTCATCAAATCCCAGACAAAGCCCTCTGCATACGTTGAGACTCATCTTCCTGGGTATCATTCGTCTTTGCTGTGTGCAAGCAGCAGCTGGGAGAAGTGGCTGGTACTTAACTTCTCTAAGCAAACAGAAGTGGCTAAAAACACAGCCTACCTCCTACCTCATCCTTAGCAACTGTACAGAAAGAAGTCCATCGCTACTTCCCAGGCTTAGCTGGAGACTAGCAGCAGGTGTAGAGCCTAGAGCAGAAAGTGGTCCAGGGAATGATTCTAAAGTGGGGCTCAGAATGGGATGACAAGCTACCGTATGCCTTTTCTGAAAGAGATCCCTAAAATAAAATGCCAAAGGAGAGAACCCTGCACACAAGTCAGCAGAAACCCGTCAATTCTATCACTGGTACTCTCTCTCTAATAATATCCCAGGATGTATCAAAAATAGTGCTTAATTTCTCCACCCTCAAATCCACTGAGATCATATCCCCACCCCGGCTTCTCAAGTCGAATCTTCCAGCACTGATGCGTGAGTCTTTTCTCATTCTTACCTTCTCCCACCCACCTCCTTCTCTCCACCATCAAATCACATTTAATCCATCACCTCCTCCTATCACCTTGACTTGCAAAATGCACCCAAATAAGTATCTCTCTCTGCCTTTCCTGACCTGCTACAGTTCCAGTTGCAATTCACTCGGCCTGGGTTATTCTAAATTGGACAAGGGTCTCCATGGCCCATTTCTGCTCCCTAACAAGCCTTATTTTTTGCACAGCAGCCAGAATGATGCTTCTCAAATGTAAATCAGATCATGTCATTCTGGTGCTATTAATATCCTTCAGCAGCTTCTCCCGCACTTCAAATCTGCACTCCTCACACTAAGCCACAAGTCCCTCAGGTTGGGCTTTCCTCTCCAGTTAGCTCCTGTTAGCCCACCTCCACTGCTCACTGGGCTCTGGTCACTTCTCTTCCTTCTAAGCCAAGCTGTCTTTAGGGAATTGCATTTCTTTTTCCTCTTCCTCTTCCTGACACCCATCCCTGACTTCTCAGATCTTGGTTGAGCTCTTACTTTCTCAGAAAGGTCACCTGGATACACCACAGTGATCCACACCACTGACCATGAGGCTTGTTTCATTCTGCATCCTGCTGCCTTTTTCGTTTGTGGGGTGACTGGCACACAGCATGTGTTGAATAAATACTCAGTGATTTAAATTCATGGGAGTTGAGAAGTAAAGCAGGGTATAAAGTAAGCTTCCAACATGAACCATAATGCTGCCCTCAATGAACAAGTGGAAAGGAACGACTATCACCGCTGTTCTACTGCAATGATGAAGAAATTGAGCCTTTGAGGTGAGATGCTTTGCACAAGGTCAGACAGCTGGCAAGAGGCAGAGTAGGGTCTGGATGTAGGCAGTGCAACCCAGAGGCACCACTGGACTTTAACACAGAACAATTTTCCATTTTCAAATCTCAATAGATACCAAAGTCAGCCCTATTCCTTCTCCAGGAAGAAGCAGACCATTAAGGAATGAGGCACCTGAGTTCAAGGTCACAGAACCATAAAGTGGCCAGATCAGATTTTACATCCAAGCCTGTTGGTATCAAATCATAGGCTTAACATGCTACTTTACCACTCAAGCTTCCAAAAGTATCTCACTAAAAGATCTAAGAAATACCAAGTGGCTGAGATTTTTAAAAGTCCAAAGACACCCCACTGCTCCCTACCTACCTGAGAAAGTTCTCATCCATTCCACCAGCTTGTAAGATGCCTGCTGCTAACTCCCTAACATCCTGAGCTCTGCTGATCAGGCCGGAAGGCACAGGCTTACTGAAAACCTGCTTTTGTTATCTTTGCCTCCAGTAATACTATTTGGATTCCAAAAGCCAGACCTGGAGGGGCCCACACAAATGCAGCAGTATAGTGTGAAAGTGGTTCTTAAAGAGGATATGAGCAAGAAAAGGAATGGTTCAATGAGGGTGAATTCACAAAATGCGGGAATCCCATGGCTCTGCACCCTTTAGTAAGCTTCACTTATGGGATTGCATTGCTTTTGTCTAGGCCTCCATCCTGTTCCAAATTCTCCCCTTTAAAGTCTTCTCCAAATCCTTTAAGCCATCCTAAGCAGCCCTGCCTCAGAAGCCCTACAAAACCTCACACATTCATATTCCCTAGTATAGTCTTAAATACCTACTGCTGCTGTAACAGAAATATAAGCAAGTAACTTGAACAGAGATTTTTCTCTCACAACTCAGGAGGCTAGGAGTCTAAATACAAGATAGCAGCTCTAGAGTTAGGCTTTCTGTGTCCCTTGGTTCCAGGGATTTCTCAGCATAGGAAACCAGGTCAAAGGAACACACTCTACTCCTAGTTCTTCTCTACTGATAGTACCAACGTTCTCTCCCTTCCTGCTCACTTCTTTCTCCCTGTCTCTCTTGTAAGACATACTGTGAGACACATCTCCCCTTAGATCAGATCAGGTCTGTGGCGTAATTAAGGGTGTTATAGCCCACCCTGATCTTACAGTTGATTGGATGATAATATCTCAGACGAAATCAACTCACTAATATTACAGAGGTTAGTATTTACAACACATATGATAATAATATAATACTGAGAATCATGGCCTAGCCAAATCCACATATATTTTAATGGAACGTTATTCAATCCACCCTACCTTTGAAATATAT